TATCAGCAAGACAATATACTGCGATCGTAACCACGTACTATGGAAAAGTCCAGCGCTCAGTGGTGTCAAATAATGGTAGTGGACACTAGAGGCTCCTGCGCTGAAACCCATAAGAGTTATATTTTTCGGATCCCCACCGAAGTTCTCGATGTTCTTCGACACCCAGCGTAGTGCCAGATTTTGATCCTTCAACCCCATGTTTCCGGGCACCAAGCTATCCCCCGTGCTTAGAAAACCTGAAACAAATTTTTGGACGAATCTGTTTAGAATTGTATCAACCCTCCACGTCGTAATACTTTGTATTTATTAAGTCGAATATCCTGTACATAGCGAGATGAATTTCTGTAGTTGTATTATTTTCATAACTTCAACTACAATAGTCCAAAAGAGACTACTACTGCAGACAGATCATTTTCTTATTACTGTTAACATTACAATTAATATATTTCTGTTTAAAAAAAGGCATCATAATTTACTGTTTCTAGGGATTTATTATATATTCTATGTGTAATCTTACCGAATGGTCCCAAACGATAATTGACCGTGACCAGCACGACATTACGGTCCATTATGAGTGTCTCGTTCATGTCGTTTCCACTGCCGAACAAGTAGGCGCCGCCATGAATCCAGAAAATGACAGGTAACAGAGTGTTCTTGCCGTTCCTAATTGGAGCGTAAATGTTCACATACAGACAATCCTCGTCACCCGTGATAATTTGTCCATCGATAGCCATACTCCTCATAAGATACTGTGTGCAGATAGAGCCCTTCTTCGTGGCTGATAGCACACCCGACCATTCTTCGGCTGGGTGTGGTGGCTGAATATTCATAATGTACTTTCTAATTATTATCTTATAATAAACAATTTCATTTTTTTAATAACAATATTACCAAACCAACTAGGTAACTAATTAAAATTAATTATATATATCAGGTTTAGATATTATCCAACTTTCGCAGATACCTCTAGTGTTAACGCTTTATTCAACATACCTGAAACCTAAGTTCGCCAACCGGGGGCTGCCCATAGGGAATGCCCTCGAAGGCTTCGTATTCTCTGCCTTGCCGAGAGATCTTAT